ACTATGCCATAATTCCTCCTTGTTTTGAAAATGTAATTATGGTCTTAATAACTGCTTAATCATATTTCGTACATACAAGACATTCTACAAAGGGTGAGGAGAGAGGACATGCAAAGATTTAGCTCTGTATTCAAGAAACTTAAAAACATAGTGAGAAAATACATTTACAATTTTTCTTATATTCAAATTAACAGTAAAATGATTTTCTCTTAGAACACTCACTGTGCTACCTATCTCTTCAATTATTATATGTTTCTAAATTTTTAGGATACTTAAGTTATTTTTGGAAAACTTTCTTGTAGATAGACAACCCATTTTCAGTGTCTTTATTCTAGAGTCTGGGTGAATAGCATTCTCTAGGACTGTATATATCTCCTTTTTCTCATTTCTAGTACCTATATTGGGTTTTATTTATCTTTCAGTTCCACATATACATTTTTAAAGGGTTATTTATATTTATGCATGCTGAACTAGGGTACAGGCCAAAGGTACAGGGGTGGTGAGAGAATCCACCAGAGACAGAGTGGGGAGCAGAACAGGCAGATCAACGAAGTACACTGCTGAGGGGAGCAGCGGGTGGGTCAGGAGAGGTCTGCCCTCCATGTGGGTCAGCTCTGGGGCCCAGGATTGAACTTACACTGAAGCGACTGCAGTCAGCTTTCAGTGCTGCATTCTAACCCACTGTGCCACCAGGGAGGGCCCTCCACATACACTTTTAAGTTGTACAAGATATCTATTCTTTCCTCCCCATAAAATATTTACTCTTTACTGCATTAGGTACTGATGAGTATCGTCACCTAACTTGGTCATGATCTTTATACTCACAGGATCTCCTGTGCCATTGTGCTCTTTGCATCCTCGTCTGGTCTCATAATCTCTTCATTATCCTAGATGTTCTCTTGCCAAAAGAACATTTGCTAGAGGCATGTAAAAGTGAATGTGTTAACAGGGAATTGACAAAGGTCTTTCTGTGTAATAGCTCTGTAGTTACAGCTGCAAAAAGCAACACCTGGAACATTTAAAGCAATGCCTGTGAGATAGCTTCCTTTGGAAACTGGTACATTTGGATTGTAGTGTTAGTTATCTTACTATTAGTTGTGTTGCCTTCTACCCACCAGTTTACCTCCATGGACTGTGGTTTTCTTATCTGGGTAATGATGGGGCCAGATTAGGCCATTCTAAGCTTTCTTAGAGCTGTATAAGAAAGTTCAAATATTGGTAAATATACAGTGTTGGAAGACAAAAGAGTTTGGTTCAAATAAATTCCTATTTCATTGATAGTCCATCTAAATGGTACTACCCACAGTGACATACTAAGAATTAACTGATTAATAAGAACATGATTGTGATTTTTTAGTATAATATTTCAATACTGTTGTAAACTTGATTTTAAAAGTCCTCTGAGGACAAAATTTTCTTTACCATTAGCTTTACAGGGCTGTTGTTACAGGGAGGGGAATTGGACCACTGTATGGATGTCTTAGCTGCAAATGAGTAGGGACAATTTCTTCAAAGTAGGGGCCTGGGGCTTATGTAAATACCCCTACCCCTCACTAGTGTGGATAAATAGCCTCCCTTTGGTGATGGAGCCATGAATTCACTGTCAATTTAGAAACAAGGTAAATTTGTTCTCTGTGTAAGAGCTAGGATGTCTGTCTTCTATCTCAGACTTTGCTGCTCCTGGTCCTTGCACCTTCTTAGACTGAGACTGTGCCATCAGCTCCCCTGTTCTCCTGTTTCATCTGGGATTGTGTTACATGACAGCTTCTCCAGCTTGCAGATTGTGGAACTTCTTTGATCTTCATAATGGTCTGAGCACATTGCTTTTGAAAATCTCCCCTGCTTGCTTTCTCTTTTCCCTCTCCCAGGTTGGTTCTGTTCCTCTGGAGATCTCTGATCAATAGAGAGTAAGATCCAGGAAACTCACTGTTGACTCCTACATTGAAGATTCTGCCCAGGGAGTTAGGACACTCATATTTTGGAGAACATCCGCACAAGGAATAATAGTGTAATAAAATGGCTGACAATTAAGTGGTTTTGAAACATATTGTCAATACCAAGGATGATATCAGCAGTTCCTAGGTAGTTTTGTTTTCTCCCTTGTCATGTACAATCAACTAAAGACTTTCAGACTTGTGAAAATATTATATGTTTTAAATGGATTTGCTTTACCTAACTTTTTCAGGAGAAATCATGCCATCTTCAAATATTACTGTTTTATCTTAAAATAGCCTAGGGATTGTCACTCCGTCTGGAGTGGCATAATTGCTATCCTACGTGTTACATACACACAAAAAAATAAAGGGGTGAATAAACATATGAATTATTGAATAGATAAGATTTATGAGATAGCAAGAAAGAATCATATTGAGTCATCAACAAACCACATTATCAAAGTCTTGGGTGTTTACTAAAGGTTTTTGCATTTTTTTTTGAAGACACTGGAAAATGTTTTAATGGGATGGAGACAAATTATATCTGGATTCTGGTTCTCCCTCTCCTCTACCTCCTTGTAATTGCTTCTTTACATGGGAACAATAATATTCCCTTGTATGTAAATAAAACTTTGTCTCTTCATTCCTTGGCATTCTGCAATAGTTCCTGGTTTTACTAGGAAAAGAACTTCACATGCCTTACCCTGCTTTATAGGACTGTTCTAGAACTTACCATTCCTCCAACTAATTTCATGTGACTCTTTTACTTGCTGACTATGTTCCAGTCACATATATGTTCCATTTATTTCAAAAGCTAAAACTCATTTCCAAATTACTGATCTGGTTTTTCTCTTTGTCTAGTTAAGTTCAGTTTAGTAAACCTTTCTGACAATTTTCTCATCCTCTAGATTTCAGCTTAATTGTCACTTCTTCATCTAACCATCCACGAGATTTTTTTTTTTTTTTAAAGCACATGGTGCAGCAGCTCTTCTGCCCACCTGAGCCTTTGCAGGTACTTCATTCCACCCACTTTCTCCCTCCGCAGGGCAGCAGCCTCTTGCCTGTCTGTGACCTATACCATGCCAGGACCTTTCTACACTGACATCCATAAGCAGAGGCCACTTTCCTAAGGCCATCTGCCTGCAACCATGTGCAGGCTTCTCTCTCTGCAAACCCGTCCCTTTTGGGGCAGCTCTTTCTGCAAGTATCTTTTCCTCTCCTGTCTCTTTCTATAAACCTACTTTTAAATTAAAAAAAAAAGAGCATGTGGTGTATTTCTTTCTGACTATTTTAATTAAGTATCTTGATCATTTGCTTTGTGTTCGTTATGGCAATAATTGCCACAATCTCAAATTCATTCTCTCTTATCCCATAATAATCTGATTTTATGCAATATAGTAAACAACCACAATAAAACCCCCTCAATTTGCTACACTCTCTGGCAATATGATAAAGTTTTAATGAGAAATGGAAATGGACAGAATTAGTGTGAGAGTATTCTTTTCCAAATAAAAGGAAAAGACCTGTGTGGTATGAATGTAAAGTCAAAAGATTTGACTTTATATCTGCCATTCCATAGCCCTGACAATGTAAATAAAACGAGTCCTTTGAGGCATCACTGAGCTGCTTTGCTTATCTTGGATTCTTTGCTCGGCACACTTTCTTTCTATTGGGTAAGAAAGTAATGCTTTCTTCTGGAGTACATCTTTTCTTGTCATTCTTTCCCATGAGGTGCTAAGCTCTATGAGACCAGGAGTTCTATGCAAATGAAAATTGATTATTTTACACTTCTCCTCAAATGCGCAGCATCTTGAACTACTAAATATGCAATTAATAAATGCATATGAAATGTGTAATTAGTAAATTTCCAAATATATGAAGTGGGAAACTTAGTTTGGTTGATATCTAAGCAAAAAAGAAATAATAATTTCTCTGAAAAACTATGAATAGATACTATTTTAATAAATCAAAGTATGTTTCAAAAATATACCAAATAATGTCATTTAAAAGTCCTATTATATGCATTCTTTCTCTAATATAGATAACATATATGTTTTCATGCATAGTCTTTGTTTACTATGAAAAAAATCCAATAACTGAATGTATATAATCTTGTTTATGTTTATTGAGTTGGAAATATAAGCTAGCACTTTCTATTACATACTATATTATTCATTTTAAAGTAAAATAGTTTTTCACTCTAGTTGGTGTGTAGAATTCTTCATTTTATATTTTATGTTGAAAATATAAAAAGACCTATAAATGATAAAAGAGAGCTCTTTGAATTAAGCACAATGATTTAAATGTTATTGCTAGAAAACTATGCTGAATATTCTCTACCTTCATATCTTTTTTTGTGGAATTCCAAGGTGTTAGGAGAAGGATTGGATAATGAAATGTATGGTTTGTAGTTTTTTTAATGAATCAGGAGGAAGAGAACACAGTGTTCATTACATGTTACACAAAGTGAAGGCTTTACTAGTCCAAAGTGTGCCAAAGATGGTGACTTTACTGTAGCTTTGAATCTTAGACTATGAAAGGTATGCTGGATGCAAAGGGAAAGGCCAGTTTGTTAAAGTTAACTGGGATTCCATTTATAGCTCCACATAATTTAACTGATAAATGTGGCTTCCTTTATATCAGCTGGTCAGTGTCAATGAATGGAAATATATTTCCACTTAACATTGTGGGAAATGTCTATTCATGTATTTTTAGGAGGAATTTACTACCAATCAGGATTTTTCCTTATATATAAACAAAGCAATGAAGCTTGTTTACATTGTCATATAGTCAACCTTTAAAGCATGCCCAAATTTTCACACTATCTGTTCAAATACCATGGAGCTTGTGCAGCCTGCCATTTTAAATAGAACTGAAAAATAAAATCTATTGAAAAGTTTGTGAATGACTCTTCCCATTTCTGGAAAATATATGGAGCTTTAATTCCAACATATGCATACATAATAAAGAAAGTAGCAGAGTGAAAGAAACACAGATACTAACACAATCTATCATTTTGCAACCAGGTAGTTTGTGTTAAAGCCTAAGAGAGTGAGTCATTTGTCATCAGGCCATGGACTGAGTGTCCTGAACTTTATCATAGTCTTCATCATAATGTTGATACTGATCGGTGAGAAGAGGTTGATTTGCTTCATCCATGTTTTTTCTGTTACGAATCAGACAAGAAGCACCCAGGAAGATGACAGCAACGAGTAACAAGGCAGCAACTACTGCTATTGTGACAATCTCAGAAATACTAAAAGTCTGACCTATTTGAAAAAATGAGAGCAAAAATAATCAGTAAAACAATTGCCACCCACAATCAGATAACCTAAATTTAGACACTGTTTCAAACACTTTATAGAAATCCTCTTCCTTAATTTTGTTGGTCACAATGCCTATTATAGAGTGTCAACTTGGAGGTACTTCCTAGTTTCTTATGAAGGAAAAAATCACAACTAACAAGAAAGTTTGAATTTCAAATCAGAGGTAAAAAGCTCAGAATATTTCATTAAAAAAAATAGATAAATAGGCCCTCCCTGGTGGCGCAGCGGGTTAAAGCACTGCACTGAGAATCTAAAGCCACTTCCGCATGAGTTCGATTCCCGCCTGCCCCGGAGGTGACCACATGGCGTGGCAGACCTCTCCTGACCCGCCCGCTGCTTCCCTCAGCAGTGTACTTCGTCGATCTGCCTGTTCTGCTCCCCACTCTGTCTCTGGTGAAGCCTCTCACCGCCCCTGCACCTCTGGCCTGTACTCCAGTTCTGTATGTATAAATAAATAAATCTTTAAAAAAAAATAGATAAATAAATGGAGGCTGCATGACATAGTAGAAAAATTGGGGCATTTTATGTGGGCTGAAAGTCAAAATACATTCTCTCCATTACTAGAAGTATGATCTTTCTCAGTTAACCTCTCCAAGCCTTGCCTCCCTTATTTGTGAAGTGAGGATGAGAAATATAGCACATGACTCACAGAGTTGTCAGGACTTAGTAAGATAGTAGAGTGATCTATAATCAGCTTAATAGGTGGGCTGTCAACAAAAGTTAAATTATTTGTGTATACATTTCCAAGGAAAGCTTCTAAATTCAGGTGGAATACATAAGCATCAGGAATAATGAGATAAGTTGGCTTTAAAGTAACAAATTTGTTTTTGGAAATGTCCATTAAAAAAATACACTTTTATACTCACTTGGCCATTGGACTTCATAAGTGTATCCCAGGTTGTCTGGAGCAGTAACAAACATCTCTGTGTTGGTAACCGGAGGCCAGAATGGCACCATATTGTATTGCCTGTTATGTCCAATAGGGGCATTTTCCAGTGGAAAGGTGGATATATCTAAATAAACCAAGGACACCTTGTCAGTAGATATAATGAAGTAATAGTAACCTATTGTTATGTTCTGAAGGTGTTCCCAAGTATTCAATGATATTTCTAAGCTATTCATTTAGTATTTTATTGTCTTTGATGACCGTCATTTTGCTTTTAAGTTACAGAAATGAATTTCAATAACATTCATTAAACCACTTTTTCAGAACGAAAGAGTGACCCATAGTTTGTTACCAGAATCTATAATTTAAATTTGAGAGATGGTGTTTCTAATGGAGGATTTTTTTTCTTGAATATCAATATTTCTGGCTATTTTTCATTTTTCTTTTTACTCTTAGGGAAGAAAATGACAACTTTCTTTCATTTTATTCTGATTGTAAAAAGTACTTAAAACTTTGAATCAAGGTCCTGAACTCCTATTTGCTTCTTGCCACCTCTCCTCTTATTGTTTAATTTCAAGCCACAGACATTTATATTAGTGAATGTCTGACCTTATTGATGAAGAAACCATTGATTATTTGTGGAAAAGATAGTTCTTTTTTTTTTTTGGCTCTGTATTTATGTTGCTATAATTAATAATGAATGGAATGTTACAAAGCTAGTGAAAGAGTAGGTTTGGGCAGGACATTAGTGGAAACAGACTTAGGATAGCAGAATATGTGACAAGGCTAGTGAAGTATGAGATTTTCTCTTTAGAAGTGCTTAGAACTGTCACAATGACCTACAAAGCACAAAACAGTGTTGTTGCATCTCTTTTGAAGAACAATCAATCATAGAAAGGGCAGGTTGAATATGTTGAATATATATATATATATATATATATATATATGTATGTATGCATGTATATGTATATATATATATATATTAAAGGCTTTATTTCTTTATGCATACAGAACTGGGGTACAGGCCAGTGATGCAGGGGTGGTGAAAGGAGACACCAGAGACAGAGTGAGGAGCCGAACAGGCAAATCAACGAAGTACACTGCTGTGGAGAGCAGTTGGCGGGCCAGGAGAGGTCTGCCATGCCATGTGGATCAAGTCCAGGGCCAGGGATCACACCGAAGCAGCACAGCTAGCTTGCAGTGCTGTGCTCTAACTCCTTGTGCCACCAGGGTGGGCCAGTATTTATATTTTTGAGACTTTAAATATATTGTATATCTGTGCTAATGAAGGATGTTTTTATTAAAATCTATTGAGCTTGTCATAGTACAGATGAAGTTAAGAGGGCTATGGCTCTGAACGAAACAGGATACAATTCCTTCCCAAAGAGAGCTCACATTTTGGTGTGTTGCTATTTATTAAAGTTACACATTAGAGCAAATATTTAGACCATTTTTAAGTCTGTCATTTTACCTTTCTACTGATCATGACTCTCAACTTCAACCCAGTTCATTTTCAGCCACATGAAATAGAAAGCTTGTTAATTGAAATGAATGAAGGGGTAATAGTAAAAATAACTGGATAGTAAAAATAGCTGGATTAGCATATAACTTCCCTAGTAATACCTTTTGATGGCTCCTATCTCACTTAGAGTTAAGTCCAATGTTGCTCAGGATCCACAGCCTGTTATCTTCTGACCTTTGTCTCTCCGCCCCCATTTTTTCCCCCTTCTGTTCTGGTTGCTGTGGGCTTCTTTATTCCTGTGTTGAGAGATGATCTCCCTTCATACATCACTCAGTATTCCCTACCCCTTCTTTCTGGTTTTATATGTCTGCAAAGACTTTCTCTCACCTGACATGCTAGATATTTGCTTACAAATGTTTGTTGTTAATCCTAGTAACAACTAGGAAAATTCTAGGATGAAAAATTTTAGTAGCATATGTTACTTTATTCCCAGGACCTATAATACTGCCTTAGAAAAAGATAGTAGGTGGTCACATAATATTTTTTTACTGAGATATCAATGAAAACTTTCTATAAAAATAAATACTTGAAGTGTATGATGTGATAATTTACAAATGGCTATCGAAAATATGAAAAAGAGTTCAATACCACTAATCATTATCAAATACTGATCAAAACTACTATGATGAGATGTCACTTCATACCTGTGAAGATCACTGTTATCAAAAAGACAAGAGATAGTGTTGTAGAGAGTGTGGCAAACATGTAAATGTTGAGAATTGTTGACGGGATTGCTGGTCTTTGTATAACAGTATAGAAGATTAAAAGTTGAACTAGCATATGACTTCATTTATGAACTAGCAATCCCATTTATGAAGATACATCTTAAGGAAGTGAAATCAGTATCTTAAAGAGCTTGTATCTCCCCCTTTTTGCGCATTATTCACAATAGAAAAATATGGAATCAGATAATGTCTTTGAAAGTGTGTGCATGTTACTGCTCTGTTTCTCTCTGGATACAATAAATAAAGCAGTTTAATTTAACTGGGAATTATATAAACTTCTTTTGAAAAGACTATACTGATTCCCAGGCTACTACACTTAAAACTTGATAGATGATTCTTAGTTGAGAAAAGAAAATACATGTATACATAAATACAAAACATTAGTGAATAGGAATTAACTTTAGCATGTTGATAGTTTACATGCACTATCTCATGTCAAATTGAGAGGATTGTATAAAAGATATTACAAAGTGAGTGGCTTTAATTTTCTTCAGTTATAAAATTTTTGTTCTATCCTGACCCTAATAATTCTTTGAATTTAAGAAATTTTCTAGTCTTTGATACATTTTGGAAAATAATGCTGCCATTACTCCTCAATTTATTTTCAAGAAACACTTGTGCAATTTGGAAAATTTTAAAAATTCTTCCAATCTTTCTTTCCAAGGGACATTTGAAGGTACATGGAATATTTAAAAGACAGCTAATTACTTGAGTTTAGTTTTCATGCTATTTGTTACAGTGGCATCTCCTATAATTTTACGGCTACATTTTATCAGGAATATGCTTCAGATAAGCTCTCTAGTTTTCATTCATGGTGCTTCTTTTTCCACTACTATCTAGGTAACTGATAGATTACATAGTGTATCTAGAATAAATGGAGCTGGAAGAAAACTGAGATAAAGGTCTTTTTGGTTCATCAATGACCTTGGAGATTAATATGTGGAAAATTTATATCAAATTGTTGTGAATATAAATGATGTTTTAATGAAGTTATGGAAAGCAAAGAAATAGATGATTTTATAGTTGAAGGAAAGCCATACTTAAGATAATTGCAAGATTACCAAGTATGCTCTACATATCCTGAAAAACTTGCTGATGTCCATGGCTTTGTGAATTGCTGGGTAAGTACAGCTGTGTATTGCTGTCTAATTCCCAGAAATGTATATTTAGCAACCATTTATTCTGTTCACTTGTTAACCTTACTAATTGCAGTTTACTTGTTATTACAATAAAATAACTTACATAAAATACATAAAAGTATACATATGATTGCTAAAATAGAGAGATAGTGTTTTTATAATGAATTAATGGAATGATTTGGAAAGCTTTGTAAAGGTGAATGGCTGAGGCATTGCTGTTGAATTAGGAGTAAGAGGCTGAGTGAATTGGATAGATAAATTAATAGCCTCCAATGTTACGTTAATATGCACCATGAAGTAAAAGCACAGAAATCAAAATTTAGGACACTACTCAAATATGAAAATGTATGATATTTTAATGAGTGGAAACACTTTCATGGTTTGAAAAGTAATAGGACCCTTTCAGCAGAGTAAAAGTAAAGAGAAAGTGACTCTTAAATAATATCTTAAAGAATGCATTAAAATGAATTTAAGAGAAATTTCCTATGGTGTGACATAAAAACCAACGTTAACTTTTCAAGTTGAACAAAATTTCCATTTGTGAGAGACCGTAAAGTAATAAAAGCAAAATTATGAGTTAGGAGTACAGTTTCTTCCTGTCATTTGGAATATCAAAGAAGAGCTCTTTGAGATTTTCTCAGGTATTTTTAAAAGCAGTGAGAACGTTCATAGGAAGATACAGATAAAGAAAGAATTGGAAAACATGGTAGTCATTTTTTCAGATTTAAATGAGAAGGGATTATCTGCTTACTCCTAGTGAAGAATAAAAAATATCATTTTTATAACTATTCTGCAAGATTTCTTATTTGTATTTTCAATGTGGTTTGGAGTATTGGAAATGCCTAAGATTACTGCTATTTTACCCTTATGTGGAAGTATAGCTTATGTGTGTCAAGTGTTTGGTCTAAAATGATAACTAAGCTAAAACATCTTTGCTGAGTCTGTAAAAATAGGAAAGTGTCTCACCAGCATTATATCTCCTTAACCATTCATCAAATACTGCATCAGTGAAAGTATGCAGGAGCACAAAAATAGGGTCATTTGGAGATAAATGGGTTTGTCCCCCAGTTCCATTCAGGAATAGATGAGCCAAGTTGTGAAGACTTCGAACAGCAGGGTCATATCTTCCTGTGGGATCATTGTAACCTAGATATGAAAATAAGAATAAGAACAGTAAAGATCATTAAAAACATTACTGCTCAAGTTGACAGCAGTGATTATATTGGGAAACATTTTTTCCTAAGCTTGTCAAGACAATTTTTACCTTAATATAATACCATTGCTCTCTGTACCTATGGTAGGTGACATTTATAAGCTATACCCAGAGCTAGGTTAGTTTTAAACTAGTGGCATGACATTCTAAATGTATCTTCTAGGTTAAAAATAATGATCCTGCAGAGAATAACAGTCAAAATATATGGAGTACTCTATTTTGACAAGGCAAACTGGTCTGTGTAGAAATAAGGTTGGTGGAAATCCCTACTTTTGACTGAAAACTGCTGACACAAATGGAAGAACACCAACATAACTGTCCTAGACCTTAAACTGGCATTTACTTCAGTTTCCTACCTTACTAATTGTGAATGATTGTCAGCATGTTTATTTTTAGAATATCTTTTTTTTTTTTTCAAGAAGTTCCAATTTCCCAGAGCTTCCTTACCATCTCTGTGCTAGTTTGAAACATCTGGAAAACTTGATGTTAAAAGAACTTTTGATAATGATATAATGGCCATATGTATTTCCATTTTAAATATAATTTCATATTTATGTAGTAAGCTGTATTGTACCTTACTGCATATATCATCGTATGAATGTCACATTTTCCATAGTATATTTTCCATAGTATATATTTCTCATATATAATGATTTCTACATTGTATATTGGGTATACTTTTCTCATGATATTTCCATGTTATATGTGGTGTGTATACAGATCACAAAAACGGTGGTTTAGAGACATAGGTTGGAATTATAAATATGTTTCTTTGGCATAATGGGCTAGTGGTCTTTTAAGGGAAAAGTTATATTGTATAAAGGAAATTAGAATTTGAAATGCATCTATTCCCTTGTATATTACAATTTGTTCATTTGTTCATTCATTTATTACATTATTTTTTAATTCAAAACTTTGCTTATTAAGTATATGGCATGTGGCCAAACTCAACCTTTACGTACCATCTGGCGGGATGCCTGTGTAATTTGTTTCTGGATTAGGCATCAAGATACAATCTACACATTTTTTTCCTGCAAATCAGATCTTATAGCCTTAGTTCATATACATTAGTGTAGTCAAAATCCAATGATTATTTACTAAAACACCTCGCTTTAAATGATTCACAATATGTGGCACCAATCACATCAATTCAGAGGATCAATATGGTCCTCATGGATTTATTTAGAACAATCTGAATTTCTATCCTTTTTTACTGTGATAATTAAATCAGCTCAAAGCAACATTTAGTTTACTTGCCTTCCACAGTATTTCGGAAACTGTTTGTGGAGTTGGAATAAAAAGGAGGTGTGTCAAATAAACGAACTTCTAGGCATTGAGTCACATCCTGAGGCCGGGGGAGACGCTGCACCATGGGTCTAGCCACATTTCCAGCTGGATTTCTCCTAATTGGTCCACTCTCAGTGCCTGGGTGGAGACATGGGATGTGTACTTTTAGAGAATGTGGAGAGAATTAGTATTACTCTTTATACACTTATAGATAACATCAACACTGAAACACAGGTTCGCCTTGTGAGAAGAGAACATTAAAAAATGTGCACTTCATTTTATAAAAGTGACACTATCTAATATGTTATGCCCAACTCCTGTGAGTAACTCTGTGGTACATAAAACCATCTGAAGAAAAAGCTGATCACAATCATTTGCTAAATGAAAAACTATTTCTTTCATGAGAATATATTATTGTTAAATTGAATCTTACCCTAATCTAGTAGACTGAAATTTTCCATTTATATCTGTATCTCACACATATGGACAATCTTGTATTCAAGTGCTGTTCTTTCCATGTCTTCAGAGAAATAAGAAAACCTAACATTTCTTTGACTGTATTTTCCAGCAATTATTGTGAAAATAATTAACAGTTTTGAAGGGAAGTAAGACAAGTTCTTTGCTGGAACAAAGAACTGTGATATGATAATATGACAAATGCCTATGTCAGGGAGAAAAAGAAGGAAGAAGGGATGAAGGAGAGAGAGAACTACAGAGAACAGAATGATGATGTAAACAAAAGGTCCTTCTCCTCTCATGAGCAACAGTTTACTAATCCATTTAATTCATGAAGTTTTATCCAGTTATCAATATAATCAGAAAAGTTGCATAAAACTCTTGAGGTCAAAACTATACAATAATACAATATCTAATCAGAAAGAGATGAATCCTTTGGTATCTGAAGAGTCCTTGATTCTCAATTACATTGCCTTGCCACAGGTAGAACTACTTATTCAACATGAAAATAAATAATCTTTTATTCTTGTTTTAAAAATTTTGTAGACCCTACGACCCAGCAATCCTACTCCTAGGTATCTACCCAAAAGACACAAAAACACTGATTGAAAAGGATACCTGCACCCCCATGTTTATTGCTGCTTTACTTACAATTGGAAAAACATGGAAGCAGCCCAAATGCCCAAAAGTAGATGACTGGATTAAAAAGATGTGGTACATATATACGATGGAATATTACTCAGCAACCAAAAAAGAGAAACACATGTCTTTTGCAGCCACTTGGATGGAGCTGGAAAAGATCATGCTTAGTGAGATAAGCCAGAAAGAGAAAGAAAAATACCGGATGGTTTCACTCATAGCAGGAGTATAATGGACCAGGCGAGAAAATAACAAGAATAATGATTAGCCATATACCAGAGACATTTTGTAGGGGTGGAGTGGGAAATGGGATCAAAAACAGGGGTGGGAGGTGGGGAGGGAAGTGCACGGGATTATGGTGATGGCACACGGGTGACTGGTGATGGGAAACCCACGGGGATTACAATTGAGATGGGGAAAAATGTACAAAATGATGTAAAAATAAACTTATAATAATAATAAAAAAAATTGTAGAATATTCCATACACTTTCACTTCTTTCTATACAGATAGGAAAATACTCTTTTAATGGTGAAAAAAGTCACATCATTACTTTGCTCTACTTGTAATTATTTTTTATTTTAGAAACAATCTATGATACTTAAACAATATATGCAGGACATACATGTTATATTATGGGCATATATTATGAATATAAGGATAAAATAAATTCCCATAATTGTAGCTTTCAAATGGAAAAACAGAAATTCAAAATAGTCAGACATGCCTAAAGAAGGAAAATAAGATGATAGCAGGAGACCCAATAATTAAGATCTTGTTTTAGTAGCACAAAAAGAAATAATATGATCCAAGGAAGAGAATAGAAAGCTCAGAAAAAAAATCCACATTTATAGAAACTTGACCTATGTCAAGATGGCGCTCAATAGAGAAAGGATATTGGGGCAACTGTGTTTTCTTTTTGTGCTCACTTTGAGAGAGCCGACCAGCAGCTAACTGGTATAGCATCTGTCTAACACCTTCCTTCTTCTTAGAGGTGCCCTTCATATCACCTTTTGGCTTTTAACCCACAGTCTAAATGACTATTAACATCATATTTTATAATACTATAATTATATTTTATAATACTATAATTATCAATTATAACTAGGCAATTATAACTATTACACCATTATAATTTAATCCAATAATTTATATTAATAAGTATAACAATATGTTTATTCCCAAGTCAATTTCATTCTTTCTGCATAGTTCAGATTTCATAGGGAAACATTTGCTGTGAAATGCCAACATAAGGCACATGACTACTATGCCATGTTCAGAGTACTGAGGAGTTATTTATAGAAATAGACACAAAATAAGGAAATGAGCAATGCACCAATCAAAATGCTCAAAAAAGCACTACAATAACATATAGGGAATATCTGTACTGCGTGGAGCACCTTATGGACTGCCTTGACTATCCTAGATGCTCAATGAATATCTATACATGGATTCACTATAATTAAAGTAGATTTTGGTAGAATGAAGGACCTCAGGCAGTACATTCCATTTCTTTATCTAATAGGGATTCTGAATCCTAGACTTTACATGGAACTTACTGTTACAGAGGGTTCCCAGTGTGTCATAGTCTTCTAGGGATTCGCAGACCACTCGCCATTGAGAAAAGACAGAGTTTGGGCTTATGAGAGAGGCATCAGAGTTACTTCTTGACCCCATCAAGTCATCAGTGCAGATGTCACAGATATTCTTCCCAGTTGCAAAATTCCAGTAAGGAAGGGAGAATGTAGAATCCTGAAGCATTTCCTAGATCACAGAATTCTGTTAGCACTCTCAGATTTTGTCTAAAATGTCCCCTCTTTGTTTCATTTAATCCTAGCAGTCTATTTTTATTCACTCTCTTCAACCACTTAGGAAACAGTTTTCAGTGGCATGTAAGGAGCAGGAGAAGTTAAATACCTTATTTTAACATAGGTTTTAATTTACTGCAAGGAGTTATTCACCCACTAGAGGGAATGAAACACTACTCATTATACAAAAATTCTGCACTGGATTTGGGATTATGGGGAAAGAGGCTTCCCTTCCCTTTTTAGGCAGTAATTGCATTGCTTTTGGTTATATCAAGAATTACTGATAATAACTTCCACCCTTTGACATTTTCATATCCTGTGTTTTTCTGTCTCTTACGCAAGCATCTGTGACTGTTATGCTGCAGCCAAATCCAGTCTTGAAATATACTATTTGGAAGATTCCTTTTGTTTGTTTCTGTTTCTGGTGTTTTTTTTTTTTTTTTAAATTTGATTCACTTTTGGCATTTAGTCTCGTATAAGCACAGGCCTCATTAGTTTCTTTCAGACTTACGTTATCTACCTGCACAGTAAAGGTGTTTAATTTATAGATTCACGCTTTGGCAACTAAACTATTAAGAGTCAGGATTCTGGCTGAAACTCACATGGAGAGGAAATGCTGACAGGTTGCAAGATGTTTCCATGTGACTACTGTTCTTTAGAACTGAGACCTGGTTTTCTCTTATTGCTGATATTATCATCATCATTATTATACATGTATTTTTTAAATAATTTTGGACTCATAATCACATGCTTGTTTTGTGGGGAATTCCTTAAACATATGTTCAATAATTTGGTATTTCTCATTTCTTTTGACCTTTGGGAGTTAGATTTAAAATCTGGGTCAAAATGCAAGGATTTCCATTGTTTTATCTCACTTTGCAAGCATTTAGTACATTTCTGCTTTTTTACTTTAAGCCTTTTCTAGACAGTATCTCCTTGTCCTTGGGGTGTTTTAGAGGGCCAAAATATTTCCAAGACATGCCCAGTTTATTGATCTCCAGGGGTGTAGAGTCCTCATTTAGAAGTCATTGTTCTGGTTCACAGAAATTAGTGACAGCTTCCAAGGGATCATTAAGAGTCAGTTTGTGGTTCAGCAACTGACATTTGGGAGCTGAGCATATTCATGTGGCATTTCAACTGTGCGTTCCACTTAGATTATAATTTGTTAGATCTCCTGAGCTGTTGATTTTTAAAATGTAAGTCATAGAGGTTGAAGTTTACACAGGCAGAATTGAAGCTTTTAGATACTTTCCACCTGGTTTTTCCTTTTGGTGCATTCGGGAAAGGACTTGGAAGATATGAGGGTCTGGAGTCGATTACAAATGACAGATTTATCTACTCATAACCTACTAAATGTCTTACTTGTAATCAGAGCTACAAAATATGAAGTCCAGACTACCAGATGAATTCAGTTCATCATTCTCAAACTGCACATTGATGGGCTACCTTCACACGAATGTCTGATCTATAGGTTGGAGTATTCATTTCTCCCCCACCCCCAGTTATTTATTTTCTTGGAGTAAGTGTAACATACTGCCATTCAAGAAAAGAATTAAACACTTTTTCTTCCAATAGAAATTTTTAGGCTAATTTTTATATTTATTTTTTTAACTTGGAGTGAGGGGATTCATTGCTGTTATTTCAGATAGAAAACTGGTTCACTTTGGATTTCCTAATTGATCTAATAATTTAAAATTTCATTTTCAAGTTATACTTCATGACAAAAGAGCTACTATTAAAAAAACAATATAAAGGAATCTTTGCTACCATGCACTTTATTGAACTTAGTTGCTTAAAAATAAGTAGGATATGATTTTAGGTTTGTTTTATGTCAGGAAGTCTATCCTTTTTATGTTACAATGATATCTGGCTGATGGGATGTTTTTATAGGTCTCTTCTGTAAGCCAAAAAGTAGTAGGAAACATGGGGAAAAGTCAAGTTCAATAAAAAAAGGCAAGGAACTTTTAAATGGAAAGGAACTTTTTCCACAATTTCCATGCTATACCACATTAGAAAGAATCACCAATTGGTGTGATTGGGAAATTAGGACTTGGAAAATTTAGAACAGTACACATAATTGCTTTGTCCAAAGCAGAAGGGGCTTTGGTTTGTGTTTGAGAAGGGAGAAGTGTCAAAATTCTATTGTTGACACTATGAGTCATTTTTTTTCAGTTACAGAACTGTTTATGCTCAAGGCTTTAGTTCACACCTACAAATATCTCAGATGCCTTCCTCATCATTGATATTACTTTCTTTCCACTTCCCAAAATATATTTATAAATCATAAGTGATTAATACTTAATAAGTGATTGAAAACCTAAGAGAAAATCAAAGATAATTTAAGAACAGGAAATTTGCTTTGTCATCTCATTTTAATCATTCAAAACGGAGTGCATTAAAAACATTACTTTTTCTATACAGGATCTGAAAATAGAGATGTTTCACGCATACCTGCATATCTTTCTCCAACTGTAACAGGTGGTATCTGTGCCAGGTGAGAAAAGCTGGCCCTTCATGAGAGAAATCCACTCCACCAAAGCTTTCCTGTCCTGCCCCAAGGAAAGTCTTTTTGACTGAATAATAGTGTGTCCAAACAAAGTAGTTATAAATGGAAATGTTCTCAAATTGTGGTGTGTTGCCATCTGGCCCCAATATTTCTTCTGACCTCCTGGTTGCAATGACAAACTGAGGGTGAGTTGTCCGCTTTGCCATATCCAGGGCTTGGACAAATTGGGTCTTTTCTTCTGCACTTAAGTTCAGAAGGTTTCTCCTGACTTAGGGACACAAAAGCAAATGTGAAAACCTCTGCCTTGAGAAAAGGGCAGAAAATTAGTCATCTTGTAACATATCATGTCCCTGTTACTCATTAATGTATCCAATTTAGATGGGCTCAGTCATTTCATAGTTTTGAATGTCACTTAGTTAGACCCTTATTCAGGCCTGATTTCTCTCTGCCCTTCCCTCCCCCCACCCTTTCCTTCTTTAACAGGCTGTAGGAGTCCTAAGTCTTTTTAACTGTACTTGCAGAGTTTGTGATCTGCTCCTGTTTTATATATTTTCTGCTTCCTATGGGCATTTTCTTGGGATTTTCAACCTTTTTAATATTGTAAGTTTTGAAAAAACAAAGTAGTATGGCATAGTGGTAAAGACAGAAACTTATTCGATGACTATGCACACATATCTCTAAGCCTCAGCTTTTCATCTGTAAAGTATATGTAAAAATACTATCTGCAATGCAGAGTTACAGTGATTAAAGGGGACACACACAAAAAGCAATTGGCCCAGAGCCTGGCTCATAAAAAGATTTTGTAAATGCTCTGTGAAACCCTTGGTCCAAAATCTGGCACACAAGGACAATCAAGTTTTGCTGACTCTTGCCATTTAATGTTTTGTTATTTATTGCTTTGTAGGTGGCAGGGCTGGTTTATCGCCTCTAATGGCTGAACTTGACCACCAGAGTGGGAAATTTCTTTGAGAGTCAGCAAAAGTAGTAGAAGATGTACATGCTTTAAAAACAGACAGACCCTAGTGTACATTCTAGATTTTCCAAGAGCAAGCTCAGTAGACATGACCTTTCTTGACATGACTACCTTGTGCAGTCAATGGAGGTTCTAATCACAACATTTAGACCTATTCTCACATTAAAGTGGTTCTTTAACAAATGTTTTAGAAGCAAATATTACTTAGATGATCTGAGCTCCAAGCTCCACCCTTTAAAGTATATACATCACTTAGTTCCTCTAAGTCTTAGTTTCCATACAGGTGAAAAGAGAAGATTGACTATTTTCCAGGTGTTCTTTTAATGTTGTACATTTGAAATCATTTCCATCTCATGACATACAGCTGAACCCATTTATATATCCACCTACCTGTGAGAATCCTCTGATCACAGGCAGTTCCTCTCCATCCCGGTCGGCAGCCCCCACAGTTGTGTCCTGAGAAATTGCCATTACATTGGCATGTCCTATTGAAGAACCTCACGGGCCAGCCCTCTCTGTCGTCTCTGCCATCGTGTGGGTACTGGGGACTGTGGGGTCGGGAGTCAGCCGTCACAGCCACACATCTGCCCCTGCCAGATGAGGTGCCACAGGGGTCAGTGCCAGGTCCAGACTGGGGGGACAGGTCTGGGCAGCACACACCACTCCTCAAAGCCTCAACAGTAGCACACTCCCTTGGGAACTGAGCCCAGACCTGTTGGGAACACAAAAGGAGCAAGAAGATGTATCCCAGAGAGAGGAGTTTCTGAGTGTCCATTCTTCTTGAACCGAGAAGATGGGGCAAAGCTCTGGTTTGCAGCTCTCGATGAGGAACACAGATTAAAATCAAGCTGAAATGGATAAAGCAAAATGGAATTATGCATTTTTTGGGTGCTATTTTGGTGGGTCTGACCCTTCCCAACCCACCGTCAAAATGCTTTTCTTATCTGCAAAATGATGTTTTAACCAAATAATAAAATTAGAACTTTACCTTTAAAAATAGGTATGTATAATATGTACACATTTAAGCCCCTTATCCTAATTATTTACCTTTCTTAATTTTTTAATTTGTATTTATAAAAAGCACTCATCCTGATATCATATCTCAAAAGCATTCATTAACAGGTCACTGCCATTAATTATATTTAATTATGGTTCTGAAAGAAGAATTGAAAGCATATTTCCAGGACTTAAGTCCCCTGTCTAAATGGGGCTTTGATGAGTCCACCCACTGCCCATCCAGCTTTTCTCCAGTACCTAAAGCTTCTGAGGGGAGTCTCTGCTGAATCTTCCTGTGAGCTGAGTGTTTTATATTTGCTCTTCCCCTGATGTCAGAGCTGTTAATTGCATGTGGTTTCTGCCTGCTCACTAATCTCAAAGTTGTTCACCCCCACTGGGAGGGGCTGGTCCTCTTCTCCAGACTTTCCTAATCCCCTTCACTTGAGTGAGTTTTCCTGCCCTTTAAGTTCTTGATTAGCACATGATTCTCTTCCCACTGATTTCCTTGTGATGCTTAAAGTTTTAAGAAAAGATCAGAGACTTTTATTTGGAATGTAAGGCAAAGAAACTAGGGAGCTTTTGTTTTCATGGCAGAGATTTTATTTGTTCCACTGACAACATGTCTTTATAAGATGAACAAGATGATATACTTTGTAGTGATCAAGCATCAGGCTAGTGCTTGTGTCTGATGGTAGCTTTTGAATATGTTCTGTCTTAAAACAATGTTTCCATTCTTATAATATAGACAGAAAAATTATAGAGAAAAAACATCTACCTGATAAAATTACACCAAGTCATGTGACATCCACTATCACGGTGGCTGTTGGTGTTGAACTTGACTCAAACTTCCTTGCTGCCATGAGGATTGTGTCCTTTTCTGAGGCAAAGCATTGGGTGTCTACCGTTTAGAAGATCACCACCAAATGGCTTCTTTTCTTTTTTTTTTTTAATTTTTCTATAACCTGCCTTTAGTCAGTGGCACTAGGGTAATAGATCCATGTATTTCCAGAGGAATTTTTCACTCGAGTTGGAACCAATGCGTATGAAGTCAACTGGCAAATCTAATCTTTAGTTTGGAATATATAATAACTGTATAAGAGTTTTTAAGGTGATAAAAGTGAGTTATCCTGTTTTACTCCCAGCTATAATATCCTATAATATGACCAGAAAATTATCTAAAGGAATTGAGTGAATGGTTCAGAATCAAAAGGGCAACTAAGGCTATGATCATCTGACAAATAAAGGATTTTCTGTGCACAGCCCCCTTGCCTATGCCTTCAGCATGATTTATTACAACCACATGAAGCATTTGCATCTATAAATCTAAAATGTTATCTACTCTATTTTTATTTTTGTTCTATTATGCATACACAGTCTACTAATATGAATGTTTGGATATTTCTAAAATACTTTCAAAAATAGAGCTATACTAATTCTACTTTATACTATATATGTAGAAGTTGAAACAGCTCCCTTCCCCATCCATACACCTTCTATATCTAGGGTATTATTGTTATAAAAATGTATCCTTAATCTCATACTAGTATGCTTTAGTAACCCAACTTCTCTTTCATTAATACCATATATCCAAGTTATTTGATATAGCAGTCTTTTGTTTATTTTTATATCAGTTTGATTTATTATTGTAAAAAAAAAAACACAGTGTATTTATTCATTGTTCACTTACCAGACATGAATTATTTTTGTAATATCTTTTAAATAAATCTTTTTTGTTCTTATGAATAATGGTACTATCAAGAGTCTTATAAATGTTTCTTATTGAACTCATGTAAGGCTTTCTCATGGTAAACATTAAGAAAGTAAATTGCTAATCATACGGTTTGTGAATATTTATAAGATAATTCTAAATTGTTTTCCAAGTGGTTGCATCAATTTATATTCACACTAGCAGTGCTTAAGATTTTTATTGATTCACAAACTTTCTAACCTGGTACTAGCAGATTTCTTAATTGAAATATATGTTTATATAAAATATTTTATCTATTTTAATAAATGCTAAGATTTAATACTGTTGTTGGTGCTTTTATCCTTATGCTTTTCTCTATTATGAAATATTCAGTTATGTCTAATGACCTTTATTTTGTGTTTTTTGTCTCCTTGACTTATAAGAGCTCTCTATATTTTCTGTTTGCTAATGTTCTGGCAGATAAATATATTTAGTTTTCACATCCTTATAAAACCTTGATATTGGTAATTTTTACTGTTAATGTCACTGTATCATACTTTTAATTTATGGTTAGTTGTTTCTATATCTCTGAATTTTTTTGTAACCCAGAGAGAATGAGCTATTTTTTTGTATTGTCTTCAGGTATTTTATATTGCCACTCAATGTTTAAATTTTTAAACATATGGAATTGTGGCTTGTATCTAATATCAAGAAGGAATATCAGTTAAAACTTTTACATGTAAAATTGCAAAAGTAATCATTCTTTCCACATAATCTGCAATATCATGTTCTGTAAGTGTTTATGTAGGCATGGATTTATTTCTAGAATTGCTAATATGTTCTGGTAAATTTGACTATCCCTAGGTCAGTGCTATAGATTATTGATTGCTAATGATTTATGACATATTTTATAGTGGAAAAAATTCAAGTCTTTTCTTCCATTCAATCTTATGTTTGTTAACTTTTGGAAAGATTATTTTTGCAAAGCTTTTGTAAGAGAGGGGAATGCCTTATGTTTACTTCTAGAACTATCCATATCTGCATCTGAAATCAAAGGAGAAAGCACTAAGAATGAAAGTATTGTATCTAGGCTGTGGAACTGAAAACCCTAAAGGCAGGTACCCTAAGGTATAGAACCATAAACACATACTTTTCATCATAATTTAAAAACAGACTGTATTGAAGAGATCAGATAACAATGAGGGGTAATTGAACTATAGTAATGAAGTCTTAACTCTCAGTTGACCACACTAGACTGCTAAGGTATAGACTACTAGTGTTTGGGTAAAGCCAGTACTTTCATGAAAATTTAGGAAGCAGATGTTTTATTAGTTATATAGACAAAAGGAAAATAGTCAGATAATTTATATTATCAGTCTTTTAAAAGGTTGTCTTTGTATAATTATGCTTTTTATATAATATTATTTAGTATGAGTAGAATCTCATGGAAAATAATTTTTCTCCTAAAAAAATCAAACTGTGTGAATATTTTCTCTTGTTATATATTTCTTAGTTGGACACTATATTCTTCTACAAATTAGTTACTTTTTGCTTCAAATTAAGCTCATTGGTATCTGTGCAAAGGTTAACATTGAACTCATTTGTTTTCATATGTGTAGTTCCCTTTGACAATTGTATATACTTATATAGAGTTCTATAATGTTATGTATTTTTTTCTTTCAAAATGCATGTTAATATTAGCTTTCTTTTGAAGTTGTATTCCTTTTTTTTTAAGATTTATTTATTCATACACAACTGGGGTACAGACTAGAGATGCGGAGGGTGAGAGAATTCACCAGGGACAGAGTGGGGAGCAGAACAGGCAGATCCACGAAGTACACTGCTGAGAGGAGCAGCGGGCGGGTCAGGAGAGGTCTGCCACACCATGTGGTCACCTCCGGGGCAGGCGGGAATCGAACTCATGCGGAAGTGGCTTTATATTCTCAGTGCAGTGCTCTAACCCGCTGCGCCACCAGGGAGGGCCCAAAAATTGTATTACTTTTTATTGAGTTAATGTAATGTTGGCAAACAACTCTGTGTATAATTCAGAGGTACAAGCTCAGACTTCTTGAGATGCATTAGTCAACACAAGACCCACCCGTCTAAATTTCCTTAAGTATTGGATATTCCTCCTATGTTGACATGAATGTTTAAAAAGCCTACAATCTGTGGACTCAGAACAAAGTAAACATGTTAACTTTGAAATAAGATTTTCTTCAGACTGTTACCAGATAGCCTAAAGGTTATTAGTGGAGGTAAATCAATTTCTTTATCATCTTCAAATATCTTCTTAATGTTATTATAATCAATTTTTAAAATTTTCAAATTGATGAAATTCCATAAATAAACTATAATACCAAGGATTAGTTTTTTTTTAGTAACTGTAACATGGAATTTACCTTATTTATCTATACACTTGTGAAATAGATTATACTCTAGTAAAAGATTATTCAAATATTGTTTATATAAAATTGTATAAAGTTACAGACAATATTACATAAGCTTGAATACCTCTGAAACACTATGGGCATTACTTTTCTAACTTTGCTAATTTTAATAACTTTTGCAAGCACTAAAAATTGTTTAGCAGTACCCACTCACTTATGAAAAATTAATTGTGAAAACAGTATATAAAACGTTAAGTAGATAGTGTTTTCGGTTGTTTTGTTTAATGTAACATACAGTTTTTCTTTCATTTTTTTTTTAGTTTTGACAATTTTGTACGAAAGTCATAGTACTTGTTAGACGAAATAAGTGAAGAATATGTGGAAACTTCATATTTTTTCTCTATATCTTATAGTATTATAAAGAAAAATATTAATTTTAAAAAGCTACTTTAAAAAATAGATAATCTCATCCATCCTCATATGTTCAGGTACAAGAAAATTACATACATCATCATATTAAAAGCCAAAAAAAGCTTAAGAAAAGTCCCCGAATGAGACTTGCTCCATCCCACTTCTGTGTTGTGTAGGTCCACAGTTACCTGAGGACACTCTCCACATAGACTGCTCCATAAATGTTATGGACCACTTGAGGGCATCAGTGTAATAATTCTATTAGTCTAATATAATAGTAGAAATAAAATGGTGCTCTGATATTTTCTGCATAGCTTTGCCTTGTGATAGAACAGTGGATTAAGTCTGAAAGTTTGCTTCCAT